CATAATTATTCCAACATTCCCCCCTGTTTATAATTCTTACATAATAGCTATGCAAAAAATAATATAAAAAGAAAAAGAATGATTACATTTTGTATATGAGTTTCAGAATACTTATATACACATATATAAAAAGAATAGAAAATATCAAAGAAACAGTAAAAACCAAATGCATATTTTGTCGTCACCAACACCCCTTGTTTTCCAGTCATCTTCATTCTTCTGGAGCAACATGTAGTCCTCATCAGTGTCAGAGGTTACCCTAACCCTAACAGAGGTTAACCCTAGCAGTGTTAAAAGTCTTAAACATGATGCTTCGAAGACATGGAATGATGCAGGCTGTGAACAGACAGAATAGGATCAGTACAGTCAAGATGGGTGTTCCAATCTGTAACAAAAGCTGCCACCAAGGTCCGGAGGTCAGCCAAGAAAGAAAGTCAAAAGGTTGAGAACCCTGAGTTCCACTGTCCATATAGTTCTTAAGCTCTTCCAAATCATGCAGGGTGTCATGAATAGTTCCACCAGTTCCTGTTTCATCAGGGATGAATGCGCAGCTTGCTGAACCTATGATCTTGCAGATGCCTCCTGGAGAGGCTGTGAGAAAATCCAACACAACACGGTTTTGCAGAACCATGTTCCTCAAAGTGCTCCCCAATATCTCGGCAAAAACATCTAAGCTCCATGTCCGCACAGAAAGTACCAGTCAGCCATCACCCATTGACCATAGTCTCCTGGCACTATGGCGCTGCAACGAGCTGTCTCCTGTCGTCCTCTCGTCTGCTGAGTGATGTTGAATCTCCTCTCCTGGAGCAAGTCGTGACAGTCTGGATTGTCGTTCCAGATGCTGCAGTCTGAGGTTGGCTCCTGTCCTCTGCAGGCGATGCAGTTGATAAATTCTGGTGTTGTTTCGCAGAAGGTGTAAACTGTGTTACACAGGTTCCATGGGATCATTCCCAGTGCTCCAGTTCCATTGTTGTAATTCCAGCTCCTGAGAGACCCTGGTTTGGCTCCTGCCAAGGAAATGGTCTTTGGTATTTTCATTACAGTCTGTGGAAATGGAAGAACATCAGCAGCAAGTGAACAATTCATAGCTCCAAAAAGTCCTTTAGCAGCAGTCCTGTCCAAAGTGAAAAAGAATAGTCCTTTTTGCACCATCTGCATCCCTTTGGTATGGGGTTGCTGTACCGTGGGTGTGTACAGAACTCAGGCCATAGAGACACATCTGTTTGTCATCAGTGATGTTCCCTGGTCGAAGGCCTGAGTTGTGTGTGGCGTAGGGCAGCTGTGCACACACATAGCAGTTCACCACGTTCACCTCATTAGCAGTCCTGTTCATCAGTTGCCACCACAGGTTGGTGCTGTAGTCATGGATGAGACTTGGGGAAGAGTGTTCTGCTTCTCTCCTTATCTTGTGGAGGCTGAAGCAGCTTCCACTCCAGAACAAAAAACATGCTGCAGTCACAGCGCAGCAGAGATTCCACCTGGCCTGTGAGAATCCCATTGCTGCTCAGATTACAGAGATGTCAGAAGTTACCTAGGACTCTATAGAACAGGGGGTTGATGATTTCTTCACCACCGTTGAGACGAATGATCCTAGAAAGTTAGACCCCTGAGTGGTGGACTCCCCAATGCTCCCACCTAGGCTCCCAACACTCTCTGCAAACTTACAGTGGCTGAGATGAATCCAGCTGGGTCGTTCAGCAATCTTTACAGCAGCTGGAGTCGTTATCAGCACCTGGAATGGTCTCTCCCACCGCGGGCTGGCCCAGCTCTTCCTCTTCATGACTTTGGTATCCACCCAGTCTCCTGGCTTGATGGCAGAGGTTTTCTGGGGGGGAGGAGAGTCAGAGGGCAGTAAATTTGCATTTGACACCTCTTTCTGGTTCAGGGTCCTAAGCATATAATCTGCCAATGTTTGTTCCTCATTGCATTCTGTAAATCTGGAGAAAATATTGGTATTTAACAAACAAAGAAAAGGGAGGACAGACAAGAAAAACAGCAGAGACATTCACAGGCGGCCTCCAAAGTAGGGAGCATTCCGGTTGATGAGGTCTGGGAAACACACACACCTTTAACTGTTTCACATGAAAACACAGGAAAAAAGAGCCTCAAAGTCAGTTTCTACACACAGAAAGAGAGAGAAAACTTTAAATTGAAAATCACAATATAATGTTGGGTTAATGATCTAAAATAATAATAATAATAAAGTCCCAACATACTCCCTCCTCTTTATCATTTTACATGCCACAACAAAAGGAAAGAAAGAAAAAGAAAAGAGTAGGAAAATGAAAGAAGTATAAAAAATATATAATGTAAAACAAACAAACAAACAGCAAAAAAAATCAAATGCATTTATTATCATTCAGTGCTGCCTTTTAGTTATCCACATTTGTTTTATGCTTTTGAAGCATGATACTGCATGTCTGCTAAAATAGTTTAATCTATTATTAGTTCTTCTACATCTTGTTCTAGGACGTTTTCAATGTTGTCCTGTTGCTGCTTTTTTCATATTTAATCATCTAACCTTTATTATTATTATTATATTGTGCTGCACACTTACAAACTGCTAGTTTAGCTGATAGTTACTGTATATTGCTTGAAGGATAACTGTTAGCAAAGAGGCATTTTGTTAAAGATCATGAGAGATATGGATGTTATCAAATTCATCAAGGTGAAGCACTTCTGTTTTACTCCTGACAGATGGCACAACCCAGAGTTGGTTCTGTTGCAGAACAATGTTATTACCCTTATAAATGAAAATGACCATTCTGAAATTAAGCCAAAATCTCAAATCCTCTAATTCAATATTTCTTATGAATTTAATGATCATCAATCAATCAAACTTGGATTAAAGGTTTTAAACGTTATCTAGAAAACCTTATGTTCATTCACAAACATCAATTTGGAGTAACTAGTTAGATAAAAGATCAAAATGTATTTTAACCTTGCATTTCAGACCAGTTGACAATGTAATTTTTTATTATTAAATAATAATGTGATCAGTTACTCAGTTCTTGACACTCATTTCCATCAACGTAATGTGACACAAGCAGAAACATAAAAATTCAGTCATAAATTTTACAGTCTGCTTTCATTGTTTTTGTACTTGTTTGTTCAGTAGATGTTGGAGAAATTGTGATATTATTAATCAAATATTCGTTATTCTCATATAATCTTCTAATATTATCTTTCTTTGATGCATTTATTATTTGATCTCATTATAGAATTAAGAATGTTTCCAGTATTGTTGATTTACTCTCATTCCTTTGTCAGAAAGCCTCACTGACGAGAAGCAGAGACAACAGTTTTCCTGCAGGTTTATCTCTTGGTGAAGAGCTCTGCTTCATTGAGTTGCTACATAACTGTCACTGTGTAGATTGACTAAATATTCTGTTTAACTTTGTGCCTGGAAGGAGATTATCTAGTGCAGAATAATTTGTGTGTTAGTTAGTGAATAACATTTGGCGCTGTAGCTGTGTGATGAGTTGTTTCCCCTCCCTTAGAGTTACAGCATTCTTGTGATTAGGGATCCTGAAAACAATAAAAAAAGAGAGGAGCAGACAAATGTGCTTCAGGGCGGTAGGAGATTGTAACTGAAAGCACATCTCTGTCTGTTCTCCTCGCAGTAAGAAAGAATCTAACTCTCCTGTGTTTGATAGGTGTTGACCCTGACAGTAGAGGTGGCGAGGGACTAGGGCAACCAGTGGATAAAATCCACGGCCTCACAAAGGGAAACCAGAAAGCCATGAACCCGGGCTACATAGTGGTTAAATCTGAAGCATCACCAGGAAACACAGAAAGCAACCTCAGAGGGCACAGAGTACCGCAATTGGCAAAACACTCAGGCGCTGAAGTGCTGGCAGGCTGCTCCTCATAAACTCCTAGATGAAGGGGTGATTGAACAAAGGTTGACTGACACCAATCTAGGCACCATCACTGTGGTTCTCAAAGTGTGGGACGCACGCCCTAGAGCGGGCGCAATGCCATTGCAGGGGGATGGAGGCACGGGAAGCGATATGGATGAATGAAAAATAAAACAAAAGTAAACAGTTACACAAAAGTGTTTCACTGTAAAGATGGTTTGTAGATTTTGTTGCAACCTGAAGTGTGAAATAAACTTTAGTGGAGTTTGAAAATAAAATATGTGTATAGATTTAATGTCTGGTTCAATGTGTGTGTGTGTGGGTGCTCAGTTGATTTTTTTTTCTTTTTTGAGGCAGATTTTATTGTAATGCAGAAGGGGGCTGAAAAAATGTTGGGTACCACTGATATAATGGATGACGAGGGACGCAGCAGACAAAGAGAAAATCCCCACCAAGAGCCAAAAACCCCGTTCCCAACAGTCGGTGTCTTTCAGACACAGTACAGACAATGAGAGCTGTGTGAAGAGGTGTGAAATTCATTCGCATATCTACCCTCCCTCACTCCCCTGATCCTTCCCCCTATTTCATATTCATAACCTGTCGCAAATTATGATTGGACAGTGTACCTAATATCTCTAACTATTAACCAGATTTTTGAAATACACTTTTGCTAAAGTCTTAATTTGGTGAAAGAAGTGTAAGTAGGTAAAATGGACAAAGTTATTGTTGGTTACAGCTTCTAGAAAAGTACAATAAAGAGAAAGTTTTATGAACAATTCAGTCTCACCAGCTGAGCCACACAACTGGCTGTTCTCTGTTCTTAAAATGACAATGAGTGAACTGTTTCAGGGACACGTTTGGACCGGCATTCTTAAAATAGTTTATAGAGCCGCGCCCATTTTCATACCTGTTAGTCCAGTACGTGTAAACTCCAAAACCTCTGAGAGCTCAACACAATCAGATCTGCTGATAACTTCCAGCTAACGCGCTGCACCTGAGGTGAGCTTTCATTTCAATCTTCTGTTTTGATGATCATAAACCAGTTGTGTCCCACTGATTGTCTGCGTCCTCTCAGAAAATGAAAGCCCAGGTTCTGTTGCTGCTCCTTGTTCTTGTCGGAGTTGAGTTGATGTCCATCCGTCCCATGGGGACTCACCAGGTACAGTCCTTGTACCGTAATTTGAAGGAAACTTGAGGATTATTACTGAAACTCTTGTGTGATCTTGGTGTCTCAGTTGTTCCAGAAGACGTGGCCCTTGCAGAAATGAGAGGGGAACAGAGAGAAGTAAAGGCTGCCCCCCCTGAACCAATCACTGAGTGTTTCTCAAAATCTTAAAAGTTTTCTCAGTGAGTGTAAAAATGATCACTTTCTTTCACTTTCATTTCTTTCCAAAACATTTCGAACATTCACTATAAAATATTTCTCCCTTCCAGATTTTGTGGTGATTTTTTTAAATTAATGTTTCAGCTCAAACAGGTTTCAACTTAGCAGTTAAAGATAACCTGATAATGATTATTAGAATTATTATGGAGTAAAAGCTGTACAAACCAATCTGGTCCTATGTGACAAAGCATCAAGCATCTAGAACGAAAGCATTTTGGTGATCATTTTTAACTGTAAGCTACTTGAAAATGTGTTATGGTTTTACTGAAATGTGTTTGTGCTTATTTTCTTCTTGCAGGAGTGAAGAAATGGAGAATAAAGAGGAAAGAAAATCTTTCCATTTTTGCACCTATTTACTTTCCAAATCTGTTTATGTGCTCATTATATCTGAGAAATATGTTCCTTTTATCCACACCTCTAATTTTATAAAAATATGCAAAAACATTGTCTTAAAACATGTTCCTATAAAGATTGCATTGCACTAAACTAAAACAATTGGAAAATAAAATGTTAATCTTAGAAATCTGCTTCTGCTTCTTGCAAAATGTTGAAGGGTGGAGGGTGCAGCAGCTTGAATTGTTTGTTTTTCTATGTCAGATAATACATATATGGATATTAGAATGAATAATGACTTAGTTGATGAGGTCAGATCAGAAAATTCCTGGCTCGACTGCAGGAGGGAATGGTAATTTGTAAAAACACACAGACAACCAATTAATGCAGTATTAGTCATGTGTAGAGTATCAATGAATATTTACAATATATAGAGAGAAGTACTTCAAATAGTCCATGAAATCCTAGAAATGTTTTTCTAGTATGTTGTTTTTTTTTTTTTTTCCTTTATCCAAGGCAACATTTAACAATTGAACTCTTTGGACTGAAATAGATCATTTTGCATTATCCTGATCACTTCCATCACAGTAAGAATGAAAGTGTAGTTGTGGGTCTGAAAATCTCCAATCAGACTGGAAGGAGTTGCAGGGATGTGATGATTCTCTTGATTCAATGAATGTTAGCTTTGCAACAGATTCCGTCTCCTGGCCTGGAAACAAGATCTGGTTCCTTTCTTCAACAGGAACCTGGCTTGTGTAAAACAGACCTGATAATCAATAACCCGGGGTCTTATCAACATCAAAAGTCATTTTATTCATATAATCTATACATATACATGTCATGGAGGAGGAACAGATTATATTTCAGGCAGCCAAAATATCTGTAACTTTGGGAAATAAAGAGCAACTTTTTCCAAGTTCTCAAAAATGATGTGTGATAGCATGTAGTAGACTGGAAATTTCCTTAATCCAGTAATTTGATATATTTACATTAGAACATGATTTATCATAAAGTCTACACTCTCATTTTTTCAGGAAGACTTAATTTTTGGGCCCTGCTATCAGACAGTTTCCATCTTCTTGTATCAGCAATGAAAAAGTATAAATACACACTACATGTTGGAAATTATTCTTTTGCTCAGTATTCTTACAAATAATAAGAAAGCTCCCATCCCTTAAAACTTGAGCTAGTTCTACATCTCCAATAACTTTCTTTAATCCATTTTACAAACTGATAGGACTTACCCAATCATCCTGTCCAATCTTAAATTTTGATATAACTTTAAAGTCTTCCATCATTATTTTCTTTTTTATTTCAACTCTTTCTTCCTCATCTTCAAGAGATCCTGCTGCCGCTCACACACCTTGGAGCCCGGCCACCAATCAACGGTGCACCTCTTGTTGCACCTGCAGAGTGGAGGGGGTGGAACTGTAACCCTATCCCACCACACTTTTATCACCTGTTTATTTCAATGGTTTCATGACACTTCTGTACTCTTCCTGCATATTAGAATCCAGAAACTGTGCATGAATTGTGGCATAAAAGTCAAAGTATGATCCCTCACTTACCGTATTATACTTCTGCTGCACAAATATTGATGAATGTTTCAGATCATCAAACATGTTTTTTTCTAGACATATATATATATATATATATATATATATATATTATATATATATATATAACTATATATATATATATATATATATATAAATATATATATATATATATATATATATATATATATATATATATATATATATATATATATATAAATATATATATATAACTATATATAGATCTATATCTATATAGATATAGATATAGATCTATATATAGTTATATATATATATATATATATATATAACTATATATATAGATCTATATCTATATAGATATAGATATAGATCTATATATAGTTATATATATCTCTATATAGATCTATATATATAAGAAAGCTCCTGTCTATATATAGATAGATACAGATATATATATATACAGCCCGAATAAATACAAAAAGCAAACTAAGCATGGAATCTGAGGACAAATACTTTTTCAAAGCATTGTATGTGGTTAAATTATTAGTGAGCATTATGTTTTATTTCATTTATAAATTAATAAGTTAATATCTAGCAAATATGTTAATATTTCACAGAAATAAAGAAATATTTCTAGGTATTTTGGATAACGGAATGTGTAGCCAAGTAGAAAAAAAACATTTCCACGTACTGAATGAAGACACTTGTTTCTCACCAGGCTGCTATACGATCCGGGCACCGACCGCTGGCAGAATGTCAGCCGTCATATGTGGCTTGCCTCTCGGAAAGTGACCCCCTTTCAGCCGGTGCCGTCCACCGGAACCAGAACATGGCAACCTGGCGTCCACCGGGCGTACTTCCTCTGCGCTCAAACTGAGTTGTTGGTGAAAGTTGCCCGTCAGGAGGAAAGTTTCTCTGGACCGGACAGCATGCGCTCCTTAGCGGGACTAACTGTCATCGTGGCGACTGCAAGTGTCTACCTCTACCTGCTGTCGACGCACCTTCCCCCGGGGCCGACGCACCTTCCCCCGGGGCCGACGCACCTTCCCCCGGGGCCGACGCGGCTCCAGCCGGGGCCGACGCGGCTCCAGCCGGGGCCTGAGCTGGAGGGAGAGGCCGTCCGAGAGTACAGGTAGTAACTAACACACTGTTTTAAATGAGGTTCAGTCCAGCCTGACCGTACAGACAAAGGGGATTCTTTCTTTTCCAGCAGGTTCAATCCACTATATTTTATCTTCTTCATTCTAAACTAATTAGATTAGTCACTCTTTAGCTTTAGAAACTGTAAAGTACGCACTATTTATCTAAAAAAATCATCTCATTTTTAGATTATTAAGCAGATAGACTGATGTTATTGAACCCAGAAAATGACTGAGAACAAACGTAGAATCCAGAAAAATTTCCTCCAGAACAGGAACGCTTAGTTTCTCTTATTACTTCCAAACTGTGGGAGACTGACGAAGCTCAACTTGGTTTCCATTCCAGCTTCCGATTTGTTGAATGGCTACAGGGAGTCCACCTCATTTTTCACTACCTTCCGCATCTTTAATCGACTCTAGGTTAAAAAGTACAACACCTAGACTCTTCAAACATAGACTCATTATTCTCAGCTAGTAACAAAATATTTAGAACCATGTTTGGGATTTGTGAAACCTTTTTCTGATTTGTGAAACCTCAGTAAAAAAACATTTTTTTGCAGTTTCGAGCAGTAAGACCAGAGGATACTTACTTACACTTATCTAGCAATGCTGAATAGTAGCACCTAGTTTATTTACTTTGGATTAGCTTTTTCTTCTTTTGCTTTATTATTTTGATTGTATTTCCTCTTAATTCCTGTAATGCACTTTGTAATGCCAGTTTGCTGAAAATGTGATACACTATTTGAATAAAATTACCTTCACATTTTTACCTTCTTTTATTATTACAGGAGTCATTGTGATATTTTTTATCTTCTCTTTTAAATGAAAGTCATCAGCCTGTAGACCTCAGTTTAATAAGCCAAAGTGCTATTTTCTTTTTTAGGCATTGTTGTATATGTGGTTCACAATGTCATAAATGTATGTATTATTTTGCTGTGGTCAGAATTTCGTTGGGGGTCGATTTCCAAATCAACTTTGACTTGAAATCAAAGTAAATAACAACAATAATAGAAAGGGATGCTTTTAGGGTTGCTACTGAAAACTGAAAGATAATCCTGCTCGTTCATATTTGTGATGTTATTTTGTGTTATTTTTCTTGTTATTTTGTATTTGCAAGCTAAAAATACAAATGCTAAACTGCTTTTAATGTTGGTAGTTTTCTTAAAGCTTTTATTATTCAAAACACTTCATTTAACCTTTATCTACTGTGCCAGTTATCATCAAACAAGAATAAGATGCTAATATTAGTTGGTTAATGTTCAACTGGCTGATTAACCAGTTCCATTAGCTGGTTAATTGAGTTGGTTCAACTAACAGTCGGCTGCTTAGGCTGTCGCCTCTAAACTCGCTAACTATATTCTCTGATAGCTTAACAGAGACTAGATCAGTTTCCACACCATGACTGTCAAGAAATGTTTTGATTCTTTTAAGTGTTAGCCAGCCAATCCTCCAATTACTTCCTGCCATCTTCTTCTTCATGATTTTTCCCACTGGTAACATCTGATTGTTGATTATGTGATGTGAACAAAGTGTTTCCATTGGACTTTTGGAATAAACCAATTTCAATAGGACAAAACCTCCCACCCCATTCTGGCACTAAGATTTTTTGAAAATGCCTTTTACTTTATGATCAAATTTATTTTCAAAATTGCACAACAACATGGCCAATGGAAACACAGTTACTGACTCCATTCACTGTTAGAACTTCTGACGTGGAATAAAAAGGTAAATAATAGGAAGCAGCAAATCTTCTGATGAGCCACTCGTATCTATTTCAAAAGCTGAAGGGGATTCCCTGAAGCTGAGACAAGGTGACCCATAATCGAAGTGAATGGGTCAACACCAGGAGATTTCAGCAACTTAAAAACCATAAATGACATTTCACACATCTCAAAATACCAAAATAATCCCTTAAACTATTTTGTTGAGTTAAACTTCAAGATCTTGTGCATTAAATAAAACCCCAACACTTGGGGAGTTTAAAATGGTTAAATGTGATACTGCAGAGGGATGATAGAATAACGCTGAGCCAGACACTCTGAGGCCAAATGCAGAAAGCATTTATGTGTGTGTGTGTGTGTGTGTGTGTTGTGTGTGTGTGTGTGTGTGTGTGTGGTGCGTGCGTGCGTGCGTGCGTGCGTGCGTGCGTGCGTGCGTGCGTGCGTGCGTGTGTGTGTGTGTGCGTGCGTGTGTGTGTGTGTGTCCAGTAAATTGATATTACTCACAATCATGACTAAATGATCCAGGCATCTTGTAAACTAAATTCCCTTTAGTAATTTTTTTTTCTTAGCCGAAGGAAACTGAAGGGTTAACTGTTCATGTTGGGGTGATCCCACATCTATTCATTCCTCTTTTTGTGTGTGTGTGTGTGTGTGTGTGTGTGTGTGTGTGTGTGTGTGTGTGTGTGTGTGTGTGTGTGTGTTTGTATAGAGTGTTCTGCTGAGGCACAACATGTTTCGTAGAGTCAGCGGGAAGTATCCCTCCTCAAATACTGTACATATATCCATTCAGTTTCACATGTCGGGACATTTCCGCGTCAACCACCAAGTGGACCAGTAAGAGGGCTGGATGTTTGTCCTCTGACTTGTAAGAATAAGTAATGCTGGACGTGAAAGCAGGTGGCAGAGGAAAGTCGGCAGCTTAAGTTTCAAGGCAGGGTGGGGAGGCAGACCGACGGGAGATTTTCTTTTTGCAGTGTGAGTTTTCAGAAGTGTCTTCTAGTCTGTTCTCAAGTCTACAAGCAGTCATGCTATTTCTATCTTTGAAATGAATATATCCAGTTACTCTTTGACTCTGAGACACACAGCATGGTCACTGAATATTCTATAATTCTGTTTTTTCTGTCCGGTTTCAAGTTTTTGCTCTGTTTGAATTTGAACTATTTAAAGTGAGAGGAAAGCCATTTTCTACTTCAGATTAGGGATATATAGATTTCAAAATTTGGGCTGATTTCGACAGTCAATCTTAATATTACTTAGCAGGTAACTGAATGTTATCCTAAGCAGTGACTGTTATGACGGATCCTTTTTGCGTTGTGCTGGTTTTATTGAAGAATCAGGGCCGTGACACGGGATTTCCTTCTCGATTTATTTCTGACGAGAACAACAAACAGAAAACAATCGTGTTATTACTGCCCGTTCCGAGTCCTCTCCCGCAGGCAGTAATAACATGACAAAAGGGGGGAGGCCATGTCTCACAATTTATAAGTAATCAAAGTAAATATTTTTTACACAACATACCTGATGAGAATGTAGTGAGTTGAGAACAGTTAAAAAAAATAAAAAAAATCACTACACCCCCTATTTTTGAATTAGAATCAGTCCTGGCTTCTGTCATTGTTTTTTCTTCTTTCTTTTCCCATATTTATAGATATTTGTGTTGTGTGCATGTGGCTTCTTGCCAGTGGAGGCGCTGTCGTGCCACTGTGAGTCTTAACAGGGAGAACGGCTTTTCTGGCTCTGGGCATGCGCAGTTCTGAATAAACGAGCTCTTGCCGGAGTAACATTAAAATAACTCGCTCCTCTGAGATCCACAGATATTGGTTGCACTGGATTCTTCTGCCTGTGTGTCACAGGATTCTGGCTCAGATTCCCCTCGATCCGATGCTGGGAACAATAACAACAAGCAAAAACAACCGTGATATGGCTTCTCACACAAAAGTAGAGAACTAAAGTTAATTCCTGCTAATTTGAAGCTAACTTCTAGCTTCAATTAAATAGTTGCAATACAGAATGGATTAGTATATTACTAATATTACTATCTTAGTAGATCTATAAATAAACTGGATCTATTTCAATGAAAAATAAACAGCACACACCTCTCCCACAGGACAAGATGATAAAAGTTAGAAGCACTGTCTTTAGTGCTTTCTTTGATTAGTACATATATTAGTGTGTGTGAGAGAATGTGTCTGTGACAGACAGGTATTGCAGAACGGCACTTTGTAAAGTTCGGTCCATTCACTTGTATTAGCTTACTGGCAGCTACTCCACATTAAATATGGCGGAAGCCGTGACATATCGCAGCAAACAGACCCACCCACTCAATGGGCGTCAACGTATTCATGTCTATTTTCATGCCCACATGTGTAAAGGGTGCAAACTATTTAAAGACAATACCACAGACGGGGCTTCCAATCTTTAACATGTTTAAAACAACGACAAAGTTCCTAGAGGTGTTTCAGTCAGGTAAGGAACAATACAAATAACCAAAAAACATTTTGTGTATGAATAACAAAAGAGAAATACAACCAGCTTATAAATGCACCATAGCTGAAAGTACTGCACAGTCAATATGATTTTCCATTTGAAATCAGCTTAAGAATGGGCCATTTTTCTTTTTCAGTCAATCTCTTGTCAATTTTCTTTGCTGTGCTTTAGGTTCATTCTTATTGTGTTCCACTTGATTTTAGTAGCAAATGAAAAAAACTCACATTAGTGTACCATGGTGTGTTCCTTTGATTTTCTGTCCAGGCTGAAGTTCCCATCAGACCTGAAGTCACTACAGGAACTGGCCAAGACGCTTAAGTTCTACAAAACGGAGAACTACAGCTACGTTCTGCTGCTGTTCTGTAGCGCCTACCTCTATAAGCAGTCCTTCGCCATACCTGGCTCCTCCTTCCTGGTGAGTCACACACTGACAGAAACTAAACAGAAAGCAGGGAAACTAAAACCCTTCCCTCCATCTAATCTCCCCTGTTTCAGAACATGTTGGGGGGGGCGATTTTCGGACCCTGGGTGGGTCTGATGCTGACCTGCTTGCTCGCCACTTTCGGCTCCACGTTCTGCTTCCTGTTGTCCTCGGCGTTTGGGAAGCAGTATGTGGTTCACTTCTTCCCAGAGAAAGTGGCTCTGCTGCAGATGAAGGTAAGTGGGTCAGTCTTCACTAGATTGGTCATTTATCCTTTATTTGTGTGGTAAACGAGAATTGACACATTTTTTTGAAGGATTGAACTTGTTTTCAGTGATATTCTGGATGTTTTCTGAGTGTCAGAAATGATGACCCAACTGGAAATGAAGCAGAAAAACCTGAATCCAACAGGGAGGTTAAGACAGACATTCTGACATCTGGTACAATAGATGCAGCTCATATCTGAGATGAACTTGCAGCCCATCTTGTGTTGATACATTGTCAAAAAGAACTCAGATTAAAATGGATTCATTCATGTTCATATTAAATGCTAGGAGTTTGTGAAGATACAGAAGCAATAATAAACAATAATCTGGGTTATTAACCTGCCATGAGAAAAAAAATAGAAGTAATTTGTTTTAAAGTCATAAATTAGTGTTACTTATTAATAAATGTCATAGTTTCAAACTAAATATTTCATTAGGAAGATAAATATTTCATATGTCAACTAAATATTTCACTACAAACTAAATATTTTGTTAGCTAAATATTTCTTCAGCAAGCCAGGTAGTTTGTTTCCAAACTAAATGTTTAGTCCAACACAAAACATTTACTTAGCAAGTTAAGTATTTAAATTACAAACTCAATATGTAGCTCAAAACTAAAAATTTAGTTAGCAAGCCAAATATTTTCAGACTTAAAAAGTAAAAACAGACAAAACAATGCCGTGCAGAGCATAGTGTTCAGTGAACCGCCAATGGAAATGTTTTAATAATTGGCTTGCTAACTAAATGAGTCAATATAAATAAACTAAATATTAATTATTTAGCTTGCAAACAGAGTATTTTGTTAGCAAACTAAATATGTAGCTTCTGACTAAATCATTTGCTCAGAGCTAAATATTTAGTTTGAAGCTAACTTTTAGCTTGCTGATAAATGTTTAGTTTGAAGTTGTGGCACTTAAATGAAAGAATAAGAGTGCAAGTATGACTGAAAAATGAACCTGACGGGGGTCCGATAAAGCTGATTATAAGTGGGTTAAACCTCGTCTAAGGGAAAACATGAAAGTGTAACAAAATGCATCTGAGTTTTCTGTTCATCTTTTTGGTCTATAAATAACTCAATAAAATGCAAAGGAAACCTAAAAGTGTCATATATCTTTAAGTTCTAGTGCTTGCATATTGACATTTTTTTTACTCCCATCAGAAACGTTTTGGTTTCATGAACATCTCTTCAATTTAAACTAAACTCATAAAAGTTGTTGAACTGAAGTTTTGCACTAGTAAAGCTTTTTTTCTAAGAATTGGTGGATTAAAAGTTGAACATTTTTCTCACAACTTCTTTCCTAACCACGTCTTGCCTTTCGTTTTTGAATTCCTGCAAAACCTTTTTCTTTGTCATATTTCTTTCCTGGAGTCTCCTGTTGTTGTCTTCCTGTCAGGTGGAAGAGAATCGTAGCAGCTTATTCTTCTTCCTCCTCTTCCTTCGTTTCTTCCCCATGACTCCTAACTGGTTCCTTAACATCACCTGTCCTGTCCTCAACATCCCTCTATCCATTTTCTTCTTCTCTGTATTAATAGGTGAGCTAAAAAGCATAAAAATGACTAATCACACTGATGTGTCGCAGATACTATGACACAGCTGCTGTTCCTCCTCCAAGGTTTAATCCCTTACAACTTCATCTGTGTGCGTACGGGCTCCGTCCTGTCACAACTGTCCTCTTTGGACGACATCTTCTCATGGGGGACGCTGGCTCAGCTGCTGGCCATTGCGCTCATGGCTCTGCTACCCGGAGCGCTCATCAAACGTTATGGTGCCGCTCACCTCAAGCTGGATGGCGTCGCCAGCAATGGAACCGGCCGGGACAGAAAGAGCAGATGACCCTGAATGTTAACGATGCTCAGGTAGAGATGGACACTTGTGACCTCCAGACCTCTGCATGTCACTCTGGAGACTCCAGACATTCAGGGTGGTATTTCTTTTGAATTTGTGTTTTTATCAGGTTGTGCTTCATTAATATGAACTTATTGTCTTAAAGCACCTTACTGTGGTGAAAATCCTCTTCTTTGAATGGATGGAAAGTCACATTTTGCAAGAAATTGTAATTATTTTGCACAGAGTTGATTAAGTGTTCCCTTCGAGATGAACAAATCTTTCTGTTCCTGTTAAAGACCTGATGCATGCACCGCAAAAACTCTAAATATTACAAAGTATTTTTGTCTAGTAAACTTAAAATCAGACATACGGATTCACAAATAAGTTCTGAAAAAGATATATGAGCTTGTTTCAGGTAAATAACCTGTCAATATTAAAACAATGGATTCATTCCATTGGCAGATTATTTCTTGTTAAAAGTGGAGAAATCTGCCAGGGGAGCTAGTACTTTTTCATATACATATAGTCAGTACAAAAACTTATACAACTTACTGAGAAGTTCTTGTAACGTGAAATAAGAAAAAAAGAAAATATTTGCTGTAGAAGCTAGAGAACGACATGAGATGTTTTTGCAGTGAGCTAACGTTGCTAATCAGGATTAGCTTCATCATCACTTGTTCTGCAGTTTGTTGAATGGATTTATGTGTTTTCACTGTAAAATGGAAGAGGTTTTATTACAGTGACTCCAAGTAAATGTAGTTTTTCATAGAAATATTCAACAAGTTGTTTTTTTACTTTATTTTTTCTGTCATTTTTATAATTTAAATTGCTTCTTAAGAATATTATTAAATGGTTATTGATTATTATTTGGCTACATGTTCAAAAACACAGACTGTTATAAAGTCTTTTAATTATGATTTTGCATTTATCAGACATATTTTACTAACACTTAGACATAAGCCAGTAGATTTCAGATGTTATAATGTAACATCTAAATTCAGTCTTCTTCTGAATTGGTTGTTTCTGATCAAGCAGCGGATTTCTACAAATGTTTTTTTTTACATGTTATCCTGTCATGACACATATAATATAAAAAATACTTTGAATAATTATTTACTGCAGCTTTAAGGGCTGACTGTTTAAATCAGGAGTTAATGAGATGTAATTATATAAAAATAAAAACCTTGGAGTTAGAATTTTATTTTGTGCAGCACTATTTAAAATATGAATAAATAATCATGTCAGACTGATTATTGCTGCAAGTAAAAGTATAAAAAGTGCAAGCATGAAAAGTGTTCAAAAATATATATTTTTATATTATGAAAAATGTGCTCAAACACATTAGATGTAAACTCATCTGGGATTTATGAATCTGGCTCCAGATGTTTCCTTCTGTTCTGATTTTAAAACTAACAATGTTTCTGTTTTTACATGTTTTTTCTGATTGTGTTCATTGCAGCTGTCTAAATTTAATAGTGGCAAACCTGTTTTGGTTTGTTTCCATATTTACAGTGTTGTAGTCAAGTTACTCTTATCATGTTTTCTTAAAGAACTTAAACAGATCTTAAGGTAGCTGGATCTGTCCTGTGAAGGAGTGAGAAAGATGAAGTAAATGCTTGTGACTGAGCTACCTTAGGTTTGATTTCATCTGATTCTGTTCTATTTTATTAACAGCACCTGGACATTTTGAATTCCCATCATGAAGTGAGTCTTCGCTCTGATTCACTCTGCAGTCGTTAATATGGCTGCAAAAACTTCTGATATTTTCCCAAGTTAACATCCTTCTGACCTTCTTTTGCCACTTAAATTAAACTCGGTGGTTGCAAAATTACATCATGGAGAACTTTCTATGTGAAATGCAGTTTTTCAGATAGGTTTGGGATTATGACTTTTAAAGGGAAATATGAAAATGCCACATTTCAAATTTGAATGGTTTCATAATGCTTCATAAAACACAAGGCACTTTCTTTTACCAGTCTTCTGTCTTCTTCTGATTACACTGATTTATATACTGTTTTGCTTTTTCCATATTTCAGTCCGTTTTCTATGGAAAATGCAGTAAAATACATTTCACTCAATTTTGTCTTTATTGGGACATGACACAATAATTATTTGTCGGTATGAAAAAGCGAAAAGGAGCCATTTTGGGATGCAAATAATATTTCATCGTCCTTGTATTTTCTTATCCTTCCATTGCTCCCCTTTATGAATGTTTTGAAAACATTTATAAACCAAACATCCAGATTGATAATTATTCTGTTTACCAGCAACACACACACACAAAATAGTCTTCTGTATGACCCCCAATCATCATTATATGTATTGTTATATGCAATTGCATGTATTGGCCATGCGAACACACACACATACTTCCTCCCTGACAGATTAGTGCGTAAACTGGCACACCTAGTAATCCCCTCTTCCTGTTGCTGGATTAAGGATTTCCTGGCAAGCAAAAAGTTAGAATTGGTCCCCATACCTCCTCAGCCATCAACATCAGTACTGGTTCTCCTCAGGGCTGTTTGCAAGCCCTCTGCTCTTCACGCTGTACACACATGATTGTGTTTCAGTCCATCAAAGTACAACCCTAGTTAAATTTGGAGATGACACAACTGTAGTGGGCCTCATCTCAGGGCTCACTCTTCATCCGGAGGCTGATGAAAAGGATTTTCCGCCGCTCCCAGTCACCCCACGTAGGCGTCCTGTTGCTTAGAAAACTTTTACAAATTGTTTTCAGCAGCAGCAATACAAGGTTTTTCTAACTTGTTGTGGTCGGCATCTTCCTGAGAGTAAGATAATCTTACAAAGTAGAAAAGTTCTTAACTGAGGCATGTCAGGAGAAGTGGAGTTTTGAAGACTATACTGAGCCCTTTGTGACATTGGAGGATGAAGAATCTGCATCTTCACATCCCAGCATCCCAGATGAACCTTTTCTTCTCTCCTGGGGATGAGGACGCAGAACTGCAGGAGGGTGTTGGGCTCCCAGCATGTGAAAGGTCTGATCTCAAGAAAATCCGAGATCATCCCACTTCCCCATGCTGGAGATTTTAGTTAACAGCAGCAACAAATAAAGTAAATTAGTCACACAAATGATATCTAAATCCAACAGTAGACCCAGACTGCAATAAAATAAATCTGGTTGTGAGTGTTGTTTTTGTCTCCTGCAAACTTAGCTTTCATTATACTTATTTTTTCTATCTAATAATAAGAAATCATAATCAGAGAGAGAGATGAGACACGAAGAGCTGGTTTCCTGGAAAAAGAGGAAGTAAGTTTCCAGCTTGCAGATTTATAAAGTAGCTGAGATTATTTGTTGTTTCACAGCTTGAAAGTTTTAAAGGATGAAATCCCAACATTTTGAGTAATTAGATAAGATTCAAAGTAAAGTACTTATATTAATATTGGTTTACTTATAACAATACGTGTACACTTACTTGTGGGAACATTTAGAAGTAAAACAAGGAACTGTAATTTTGATATCACATAATTACAATAATGAATTATTCTTGGTTTCTTTTCAGAACGTCTTTAATAACTCACATTATGGTTATAATAAGAGTAATAAGTTGTGGTTATCATAAAATTATAAATGAATGCTAAATCAAAGAAACTAAAAGGGTTATGAATGTGATTTTAACATTGAACTTGAAATGGTGTAAAGCGTGTAACTGCAATTAAAGATCACTGATGATGTGTTGGAGGTGGATAATGGGTGAAAGATGAAAGGTCAGGGGTAAAATGGGCACTAATGGGAGAGCAGAGATGATCAATGCCTTACTTCCAAACAGATTGTTGAACAACTTGAATGTTTCAAAGAAAAGACTTGGGAGGAATGTTGAGCAACCCTGAGACATTAGCACAGACATCAGGACATAATGTCTCTAAGACAGTGATGGATACGAGATCATCTGTCCATACAGTCAGCCAATGAAACAAGCACAGCAACAGTGTTAGCCAATGCAAATGCACCATAAGGCTGGATAAACCCAATAAAAAGAGAGAGCAAAAGAGGAATCTTTGGTTGAATCCTCCAGGCAGCTTCGAGCCAAGACCGAGACGGACAAAGAACTCTGCAGCTGAAGAAGAGCCGGGGCCACAGAGCCGAAGACTGTCCTGCGCACGGGGACCAACCCGTCAGCCCCGCAACATGTGGCTTCAAATTGCACTTCTCTCATCAATTGGGCTCAGACCCCAAAGATAAAGATGAAGATAAAGGCAAAGATAAAGACCTCCTCCTCCTGCTGCAACACCTTCTTCATCATCGATCCAGTTCTGGGTTTCGAAACGCCATACTCCATCCGTCTCTCTCAAAGGTTCCCTTTTTAGTTCTTAGTATCAGCGTTAGGGAAAGACAGGCTAGATGATTGATTTTACTGATTTGATTATTTCTGCTACTTGATTAAGCTGTACTGACCCTTGCAAATTTGCTTTACTAATAAAATATTTAGCATAAAGAAAATCTAAAAGGTGTTGTGGACATTCAATTAATGAGTCACCTCAAAGTTCTTTGATGGTAGTAAAATAGCCTGAGATGGTTGATAATCCCAGCTGCATAATGGGTGAATATAAGATGTTGGAATCCCATCCTGATGTGTTTGCTGTCAGTGCTCTTACCAGGTTCCAAGCCCGTAAGCTGAAGGAAGTGAACTTGGAGGCTTTGATGGAGGACAAGCTGCCAGCAGATGACCTTGTAGAACCAGCAACCCTCATGGAGGACTTCACCCAAAAGTCTGAGGTTTTTATCTCGCAATCAATATCACATGAGAGTTTGAGCCAAGCTCAGAAAAATGGTGAAACACTCATTAAATGCTTTGAAGGTGTGAGTGATTCTGTAAATAATAAGACCCATAAATTTTATGTTGAGGATGGTTTACTCATGAGGAAATGGATCTCAAGGCCTGTCTTGCAACAGAAAAGTATTGAAGAGGATTGGGGAGTAGTATATCAAGTTGTCATTCCTCAAGGTTATCGTGAACAAATACTGCAGATGGCACATGACCACTCACTCATGGTCGGGTCATTTGGGAAGCACTAAAACCTATGACCGTATTCTGCAGCACTTTTTCTGGCCAGGCCTGAAAAAGGATGATGCCAGGTTCTGTAGAACATGTAAAGTTTGCCAAATAGTGGATAAACCTAATCAGAGGATACCAGCCGTCCCTCTTAAACCCATTCCTGCAGTCGGTGAGCCTTTTGAGAGTGTCCGAGGGACTGTGTGGGTCCCCTGCCAGTATTAATGTGAGCTGGTAATCAGTTTCTCCTGACTGACGTGTGTTGCCACTCGTTTCCCTGAAGCCATTCCACTACGGAAGACCACAGCACCCACCATAACTAAAGCTCTTCTAAAGTTTTTTTTCAACTTTTGGTGTGCCTAGAATCATACAAACTGATCAAGGTAGCAATTTTCAATCCAAAATCTTCAAGCAGACACAACAGTCTTTTAGGATTAAACACGCTCCCTCAAGTCCTTACCGTCTCCAGTCACAAGGCGCTCTGAAAAGGTGGCATCAGACTATCAAGGCCATAATGCGGAAATATTGCCATGAAACAAACAAAAGCTGGAATGAAGGCCTTCCTTTTCTGCTGTTGCACCCGAGAAGCTAATCAGGAGTCTCTAGGTTTTAGCCCTGCTGAACTAGTTTTTGGGCCTGGTGTAAGAGGACCACTGAAGGTTCTGAAGGAGCAACTCCTGTCAGAAATCTTTTAGATTTTCTAATGTCCTTGAGTTTGTCACACAGTGTCAGGAGCATCAATACCATGCTTGTTTGATAGCAAGAAAGTCTTTATCAGCTGCCCAAGGGAAAATGAAACATCTGTATGACAGAAAGACTGTAAAGCAGTTGTTCGAAACAGGTGATAAAGTGCTCATGCTGGTGCCTGCTTCCGCCCCATCTCTTTCAGCCCAATTTGCAGGCCCATATGTGGTAAATAGCAAAGTCAATTACACAGACTACATTGTTCATACTCCTGACAGGAGGCGCCAAATGCGTCTGTGTCATATAAATATGTTGAAGCTGTTTCACTCCAGAGAAGAAGACAAGGACACATGTGGTGAGGACTCTCCACAACCTGCATCAATCTCTCTTGTGTCTGGACATACCCCCATGATGGTTTGAAGAAGTGTGATGAAGGCCAATGGGTAGGGTTTCAAACTCTGTCATTTTTGATTCCTTGGATGCATATCTGTCCTATCTTCCCCAGGGTGAGAAGGAGGATGCGGAAGGACTGATCCAGCTGCACCCTATGCTTTTCAGAGAAGAAGACAAGGACACATGTCTTGTCTTCTTCTCAAGACAAGACGTGTCTTGAGACACATGTCCTCAGTACTGGAGCATGACATCGATGTGGGAGACACCCCCATGAAACAACATGCATACCGTTGTCCCACAGTCAAGAGGGAAATGATGAAGAAAGAGATTCAGTATTTACAGGAAATGGGTTGGCCATACAGAGTGGTAGCTCCTGGAGCTCTCCATGTGTTCTGACACCAAAGTCAGATGGTTGTCAGCGTTTCTGTACAGACTTTCGAAGAGTAAATGCGGTTACAGTCCCGGATTCACATCCATTGCCTCACATGGAAGACTGCATAGACAGCATTGGTGCAGCAACCTATATCACAAAATTAGATCTGCTGAAAGGATACTGGCAAGTTCTCCTGACTGCCAGAGCTTCTGATATTTCAGCTTTTGCACCAGACCATTTCCTGCAGTGATGGCATTTGAATGCAAATGCACCAGCTACCTTTCAGCGACCGATGAACACTGTATTAGGAGACATTAAGAATTGTAATGTCTACTTGGATGACATTGTAATCTATTCATCAACCTGGACTGATCATATTAACACTCTGAAAACTGTTTGCTCGTCTAGCTCAAGCCTCCCTCACCTTAAATCTGGCAAAATGTGAGTTTGCCAAAGCGGTGGTGACATACCTCGTAAAGGAAGTGGGCCATGGCCAAGTACGTCTGGTGA